TTTACATTTGTAATTGTTCATTTCTAGTCTTTTAATTTCCTTTAAAGAAAAGTGTAAATGTTAGAAACCGTTATTTCTGCAATTCGTGTTTCTACAGCATCTCATCAAAGCATTTAGTCTTTGTTACTTCCATTTTGATGCCACTATTTTCCCTGAACGTGGAGTAGCTATGGCGTCGGATGACATCTCTATTATTAAACCCTTTACGAAGCTCTGATTGGTCCACAGTGACCCTTAAAACAAATGTAATGCATAGAAAAAGACCGATGGCAGTGATTTCAAGTTCTGAAGACTGGTGAAACTTAATGGACTGCCTGCATCCTTTCTCTTGCTCAGAGACACCTCCACAGGATAAATATCTGCTAATTGAGAATCCAGCCGGTTACAGCACTGATACGTCTTGTTTTCTTACCGACACTTGAATTAAGTCAAGTACGCAGTGTTAAAAACAACTTTTTATTTTGAGTTTGATCTAAAACCAACCAAATCTAGCCTAGTTTGAAGTGAGCGCTGACCTGGAACGGTGTTTTTTTAGTAAGGGAGGTTTCTAACTGAGTGAAATGAGCTACAACTATCTAAATATCCAGGATACTGGTTTGTGTAAATACTAACAAGGTAAGCTTCATTGCCTCCATTCCTATTGTCTTTAAATAGGCTACATGTTGTTCCCTCATCCAGCTTTCATTTCTTTCCTGACGTTCAGTCAAAGACGTGTTAGTGGACGAGCTGTCATCTAAAAACCGCCCTCAGTCATAAACTCTTGTGTCATTTGCAGAATAGGAGGCCTTTTGTCCCTTCTGTCACCCCGTAGCAGTGATATTGTGAAGCCGTGAGCTGTGTTAGCCTCCGTCAGGCTTCTGTGTTCACATGAGAGGATAAAGAGCTAAGCATCTGTGAGAAGAGAAGGGTTTAGTCTCTGTGTTTGCACGGTTTACCGTACGTGGACTCTACAGGAACCCGCGGGCACACAAACCCCTTACGGACCGCACAGTATGGATTTCATCTTTGAATGTCAAACACAAGCTCACACCTCTTTATTTCCGTCACTGACCTTTTCTCACACAGCGGAGATCTGTCTCCATGTTGCCTCAGCGTTTCCGTACATGAGGACAGCCTTTTGCCCAATCAGCATGGACAATCACTGAAGAAATGAAATGATGAAGTTAATTGGTCAACGACACCCCAGATAAACTGATCATCGACCACAGCCCTCACCTCCTGCCTCCTTTGTGTCTGATTGGAAGATCCACCTTTCTTTATCCCTCCATCACTCTATTCCCCTTTCTAATCTTTACCAACTTCCCATCCATCCATCATCTCTTCATCCCTTCCTCCATCCATCCATCATCTCTTCATCCCTTCCTCCATCCATCCCTTCATCCCTTCCTCCATCCATCCATCCATCATCTCTTCATCCCTTCCTCCATCCATCCATCCATCATCTCTTCATCCCTTCCTCCATCCATCCATCATCTCTTCATCCCTTCCTCCATCCATCCATCATCTCTTCATCCCTTCCTCCATCCATCCATCATCTCTTCATCCCTTCCTCCATACATCCTTCATCTCTTCATCCCTTCCTCCATCCATCCTTCATCTCTTCATTCCTTCCTCCATCCATCCGTTCATCCCTTCGTCCATCCATCCCTTCATCTCTTCATCCCTTCCTCCCTTCCTCCATCCATCCATCATCCCTTCATCCCTTCATCCATCCATCCCTTCATCTCTTCATCCCTTCATTCCTTATCCCTTCATTCCTTACCCCTTCCTTCCTTATCCCTTCCTTCCTTATCCCTTCATTCCTTACCCCTTCCTTCCTTATCCCTTCATTCCTTATCCCCTCCTTCCTTACATCCCTCCATCCTCTCTTTCTGTTTTCATATCGCTGTGTCACATTCCTTGCTNCTCTTCATCCCTTCCTCCATCCATCCATCATCTCTTCATCCCTTCCTCCATACATCCTTCATCTCTTCATCCCTTCGTCCATCCATCCCTTCATCTCTTCATCCCTTCCTCCATCCATCCATCATCCCTTCATCTCTTCATCCCTTCCTCCATACATCCTTCATCTCTTCATTCCTTCCTCCATCCATCCTTCATCTCTTCATCCCTTCGTCCATCCATCCCTTCATCTCTTCATCCCTTCCTCCATCCATCATCCCTTCATCCCTTCATCCCTTCATCCATCCATCCCTTCATTTCTTCATCCCTTCATTCCTTATCCCTTCATTCCTTACCCCTTC